CAGGGTGTATTCCTGCACTGATGCACATAATTAGGAAAGTCACATAAAGATTACATGTGACTTACTGGATTCTCATCCGTCCGTCATCGCTACCGAAACCAATTGATCCCGCATAATACATATTAACATTTAAATAGTAATAAATTACTACTCATATATATGTTTTGAAAACTGTTCTCAATTTTTAATTTTTTTAAAAAATTTTTATTTTTAATTTCTTTATTTATCTTTCATTTATAATTCTATAAGCATATTTTTGGATAAAAGAAATTATTCTTATTATGAATTTTTGAAATAAATTTCTTTTAAAAGATATTTTAGTCTTTAAAATTTGTTTTTCTATTAAATTTTTAAAATAAACAGTTTCTTACCACATCTTAATAAACATATTTTATAAAACGAATTATTTTCTTATTTTATACTCATCATAGCTATTTGAATTTTTAATATTAATTATAAGTACCACATGCTTAATAAATTTGATTTAAATCTATTAAGATATTAAAATTATATTAAAAACATGTTTTCTACATTTTATTAGTTTTCTAATTCTTCTGATTTAACAATGTAATCACTCTTTACATTAAACAAGGCAAATAAGTGAGCAACTGAATCTTTAGAGTCATCTTGATTTTCCTTATAGTTTTTAACTAATTCTAAATCATATTCTGATAATTTGAGAACATCTACTTCTTCAAGTGATTGTAATATTGGTAATATATCTTCTTTCTTAAAAGATAAAAATGATTTTAAACTGTCAAAACCAACTAACAATGAATTATTCTCAATTAAATCTTTTTCAGTCATGTTTATACTATCAGGTAATTCAGATAACAACAATATCATTTGTTCAATACTCTTTAGCTTTTCAGACTCAGATGTCTTTGCAGTATCAAGTGATTCCTCAATCATTTCATGTTTCAAACTCTCCATTTTTAAAGTTCCAGATAAAGTAATGGTATAATCTTTTTCCAATTCAGCATTCAAATCTGCAGTTACATTAAAAGTTTCAACCAAATCATTTAATTTTAAAGAAATATTTCCTAAAAACTTAATTTTAGAAGAACCATCTTCATTAAAAAATATTCTACAGTTTTGCATGTTTTCTATTTTATACTTCTCTTCTAATATCTCAAGTTCAAAATCACAATCAAAAAGTGGATATCCTTTTTCTAAACTTGCATCTAAATTTTTCCAATCAATCATAAAATTTCCTTTGATAAAACCATTCTTTGCCTTGTCATCAATAATAAACATTAAATCACTTTGATTGACTTCTAATGTTTCAGATTTATCATCTACATCTAAAATATCATCACTTTTTGAACTTGTGACATAAGAAGATTCTTCACATCCTATTATACATAGATTTAGTGTGGCAAGTAAATAATCTCTAAACATGGGTTGTATTAAAATTTTCTTTATATTTTTAAAGTAAACAAAAATTATTAATTTATTAATAACATTTTTGAGGTAACTATTTATTTATAATTTTTTAAAAAATAAAGTATAAATTACATTGATTTAATGGTTCTTTATATTTAATAAACATTTAAAATTAATTTATTAATTTAATAAAAATAATCAAACTTAAATACTTTTATTTAATTTTCATTTTTCATTATTTACTTTCAAATAAATAAGTTTAGATCAATTTCTCTTTATATAAAGAATTTTCAATAAAATTTAAATAACATTGTAAATTGTAAATTTTTAAATTAAATATAATTTATAATTAGCATGTTTAATATCATTTAATTAAAGTGTGAATGGTTTTTTAATTAATTAAAAAATTATATATACTTGAATTTAATGATAAAATTCGTTAATTTTTATAAAGTTGTTGCAATTCTTAAAAGCAATATATTGTTTTGTTCTTTCTTCAAAATAAAAAAATAAATTCATGAAAATTAAATAGAGGAATTTAGAAAGGTTTAAAATAAAATTTTAAAAAATTATAGATTTTTAAATAAAAAACTCTATTTTTAATTGTTGTTTTATATGCAGATGTATTAGTTATTATTTGATTTATTTTTTATTTTACTATTATACTTATAAATTACTATTTTTTTGATATGCTCCTATTACACATCTCAATAATAAGATTTTTAAATTCTAGTTAAAAATTGAAGATAATTACTAAACTGATTTATTTATATCATAATCTCAATATAATAATTTTTTTAAAGTAAAAAGTTTTAACTTTAAAAACTGTTTATTTTTTTTAATCAGAATATTTTTATATTGTGTTATTATAAAAACTAGGTTAATTTAATATTTTTATAATAGATAATTTGTAGTTTATAATTAAAAAAGTTATTTTTTTACAAAATTTATTACATCATATACTTAGAAAGATTCATTTCCCCTTCAATTTTTACTGATTTGTTTATTTCATCTAATTTAACATCTAAACACCCCATCATAACTAAAAAGTGATTTTTAATTTTATCATCGGTAAAAATTTGTATTTTTATTGTACCAAATATATCTGTTTCATTCAAATATCCATGCTCGTAAACTATTGTAATATCTCCATTCATTAATACATTATTATAAAGTTTTTCGTCTAACATCAATAACAAATCACCTTTTATTTTTCCTCTTTTTAAAACGGTAAAATCTTCTAATACTGATATTGTATTCCAACATATTGTAAAATCATTACAATACATAACCGCATCCATTCTGTCACTACCATCAACTGTTACTATAACAGAACTAGGGATTAATGTATATTTAAATTCGTCATCGTTTATGGAATAATCACTATCCCAATAATCAATTTTTATTCTAGCTTCTACAAAATTACTTATTAACAAATCAAAAATTTTAATTAAACTAAAAAATAAAATCATGGTAGAATAAATAATTTTTTTTATTAAATTTGATAATAAACATTATATTTTATTAAATAAGATAATAAACCTATTTAGTATAATATTGATTAAATTTTTAAACACTAAATACTATAATATTTTATTTACAAATAAAAACATACATCTTATATATCATAAATATTTTTAATAAAGAATAATATTATTAAGAAAATTACTTTTTTTAATAATATTATTCTTTATTAAAAATATTAGTTTTATAAATAACAATTTTCATTTTTAATAAATCAATAATTTATAATAATTCAAAATAAAAACATTGTTTTTTTTATAAATACAGTTTTTATCTGTATAAACTGATATTATTGTATTAAAAAGCTAATACTATTTAAATGTTATTTGCCTTATTTTTTTATTGAACAATCTGTTTATAAATAAAGAATTGTTGTTTATTTTGATATATTATTTTAATTAAAAAAATAAATTTTTTATTTTTAATCAAATAAGTAAAATTTAAAAAATAGTTTACATGTCATTTTATATTACAAAAATTATATTCTTTGATGTATATAATATCTAAACTTTTTTTTATTATAAATTATTTAAATAATGTAATCAAACATATCTTTTTTTTAATTTATGATTAAATAATTTAGTATTTTTATATTATTTTTTTATATTAAAAACAATTTCTTTTTTGTAATGAACATTTACAATGTTTTGTTTAAAATATTGTTCTTTACTATGTTATTGTTTGTATGTTTTTTTTACAATAATTCAAGATTTTTTTTAATTGTCACACAATCATTTTTTATTATTAATTAACATTAAAAAAACATATTTAATTTTTTTATAATTAAACAAACTGGTATTACAAATACATTTTTTTATTTTTGTAATCATCATAATTACAAAAAAATAATTGTTTTTAAACAATCCAATATTAATCATTTAAAAGTTTAATTAAACCCTGTTTTTATAAATTTCAATGACCCATCTACTACAAAAGAATTGTCTTTTTTATCTTCTCTAATATTTAAACTTCCATCAACAGTATACGAAAACATCTCTGCTTTTTCGTTTTCAGATGAAAAAATTATATTTAAAAATCCAGTAACTTCTGATAATTCAGATGTTTTATTTTTAAATTGTAATATTATATCACCTACAATCCATGCACATTTATTTTGGTAGTTACTTGATAAAATATTTATACAACCTGTAATTTCACCTTTTTTACAAATCTCACCATTTTGTTTAACAGATATATCATTCCAGTTTACTGTAAAAACAGGACAGTTTATTGTTAATAATTCCCTTTTATTGTCAAACGTAACATCTAATTTACTTGTTTTAAGATTATAACCATAAACATCTTCATTAGTTACGTAATATTGACTTTCACTCTCATCAAATATAGTTGATTCTATATCTAAATTTTTTATGACTCCTAAATTATAACAATTTACAATGTTTAATATACTTAAAAACATTTTTTATTAAAAATAAAAACAAATTTTTTATTAATAAATCTGTCATTTATTATTAATATTTCAATTTTATTAATAAAAACATGTTTTTGATAAAGAAAGTTTAATTTTTATTATATTAACGTTATAAACTTTAAATAATATAATTTTAATAATAAATAATAAACATCATGTATTTTATTTATTTAGAAGCAAAATTAAGATTAATTTCACCTTCAATTGTGCAAGAATCATTTTTATATTGAACATCTAATTCAGCATCAATTATTAAGTCACTCTCAATTTTTTTATTTTCTATACAAAGTGTTGAATGCATCATCCCAGTTATTTTGGAATACTTGGAAGTCTTTGAATCAAAAAAGTAATTAATTTTACCCTCAATTAGAAAATTTCTTGGTTTCTTTCCATATTCGTTATAGAAAAATTCTCCTTTTATACTACCGTTCTTTTTTTTAACGTTTTCTGAATCTTCTATTATTTCATCCCAAACTATTAAAATATCATTACAACTTATTTTTGCATTAAATTGTGAATTATCAAATTTTATTTTCACATCACTTGGTTCAAGTTTAATGTTGAATTTATTAGAGATGGTTGTTTTATGATTAGATGGTATCTCTAACAGCAAAGTATTATCACTATATGAAAAATTATCACAAATTAAAGTTGGATCAAGATCAGATGAACTTTCACTAATTTCTTCAAAACTTTTAGTTGGGATTTTTAAATTCTTTTTGGGTAAGACATTTGCTTCATCGGCTACTTCTGAGTTATCACTTTCATAAAATCTAAAGAAAAAACAACAAGATATGTTTGTTATAATCGTTAAAAACATAAAAAAACAAAAAAATTTTCTTTAAATATAAACATGTCAACTATCATTAAAATTTCAATATTATAAAAACATAAAGTTTATTATTTTTATTTAAACAAATTTTTAATTGAAAATATACTTTTTTTAAGTTTTAAAAAGATTTAATTTAAAAATTAAAATAATTTAAAACAAAAGTTTATTTACATTTGATTGTTAAGGTAGAGTTTACCACTCATTTCAAATGATGAAAGTTCTTGATCAAATTTTATATTTACATCAGAATCTAAATTATAATTTTCAACTCTGTAAGAATCTTCTTCATCCAATGAAAATGTCATACTCAAATTTCCAGTTATTTTTGCATCTTCAATAAAATCACCAAAGTGTGTTATAGAAATTTTACCTTCTATTTTAACATCCCTGTATTTAATGTCATCATAAGTAACATCAATAACACCATTAATATAACCTACTTTTGTTGTACAACCATCTAACACGGCTGAAAATGATTCAAGAGCAAAGTTAAGATTGTTGGAACTAAGTTCAATATTAACTTCTTCATTTCCATTTATTGAAACCTGAACACTACTAGGTGATATTTTGGAATTGTTTGTATATGTTGGTAACTCTTCAATAACCGATAGTTCATTATCAACAATGCTTACAGTGTGTCCGAGTATAGTCGATATAGCTTTTAAAAACATGGGTATTATTAAAAATTTACTTAAATACCTAAAATGTCAAATTTCATTAAAATTTTAATTTTTAAGTCTAAATAAAATATTAAAAATTAAAAAAGTAACAAATTCTTTTATTAAACTTGTTTAAACTTGGCATACAATTTAGAAAATTCATCATTTAAATTTTGATTAAAAATGAAATGAAATGAAAGTGATTTTGAATCAGGAAAATAAATTTGTTTTAATATTGTAGGATTTTTACTTTCTATAAATTGCTGGTGCATTTCAACATAATATTCTCTGATAATACTGCTTATTCTCCCTACAATATCCTCTTCACATTTTGTAATTACTGATGATGTAAGTAACATGTCTAAATATTTAAATAATTTAGAAATTTGATAATAAAGATGAGTTGGATTCTTATTATCAAACTTAAGTGGCTCAAGTGGACTCTTTTTATATTCAATAAAAGTTTTATAAAGATTTTTTATAAAACTTTCACTATTAATCTCTCGTGTTAACACACCATTTATTATCAACATCTTTTTGTTATCTTGTAATTCATTATAGCTTAATTCTCTACTTGGATTGTTTTTAAAAAATTCACTTATTTCTTTATCAAATGGAGATTGATCTATTAGTTTCTGTTTCTTTTCAGTCATCTTAATTAAAAATTTTATAAAAATCTCTTTATTTAAATCAACATTCTTATATAATCAAGTATTAAAGATTTATTACTTGAGTCTTTCTCTAAATTCTCAATAAATTTTAAAGAACAATCTTTAATTTTAGTTTCATCAAATTGTCCACCTGTTCCCAACTTAATTAAAGCATATTCAATTTCATAAAAAATTCTCTCAAAAAACCCATTTTGGAAATACAAATTTTTAATTAGACTACTCAAATCAGAATTAATTTGTTCTGTTAATTGATTTAAAACCAATTCACTATTTTCCCACTCAAACAAACTATCTTTAATACACTCATAAAATATATAATTTTGTATTTTGTAAATAAAAAGCATATACTTGTGTGTTCCAAGTCTTAAAGTCAAAGCTTCTATTTTTTTGATCTTCCATAAAAATTTAAATATACTTACTAATTTCGAAATAAAACTCTCATTAAAGATTAATGTTATTGGGTAGTTTAACTTACAAATTAAACTAAATGGTTCTTCTAGATAAACGTTTAACTCAGATGGTGTAACATCATCAATTATTAAATCAATAAAATTAATAAAGTTTTCAGGATAATCTGTATTGCCATTAAAAAATGTGTCATATAATCCTTCTTCAATTATTCCGAGACAATTCTTTTTAGATAAATTTCTATTTCTTTTAAATCCTTCAAATATAAATTCGATAAAATCTACCCTTCGAAATAAAAATATACTTTTTATAAAATCATACAACTCGTATATCTTATGTCTTACTATAAACTCTCTATACAATTGTTCATTTACGTGTTTCAAAGCTTTAACCAGTATTAAAGAAGCAGATGTGTCATTAAGCTTAATATTAAAATTACTTTCCTTAAATGAATTAAGATTCTTTAATAAGTTAATATTCTTTCCAATATAAAATATAGTATTAACTAATTCCTTAGACACTTGTGAAGGAATCTTATTATACTCAATACAACTACTGATAAAATATTCGTTATATCTATCATTAATTACACCAGTACTGATATAAGTTGAAGTACATTGATTATGGACTTCATAAATTATGTCGGTACATTCACTTACTATCTGTTTATTCTTAATACTATTATGAATTTTATTTATATGACTTAACTTCACATAAATCTCATACATCTCACAATAAAACTTAATAAAGTCATTATCAGTATTCATAACAGTCTGTTCATAAAGTAAAACTATCTCTTTACATTTACTTAAATAATTTTTATGAGTAACCGAAATAGGGTTGTTCATCTCATATTTAAGGTTCTTATAAATTAAAGAATATTGATAAATATTTAGTAAAATATTATAATATTGTATATCAATATGAGGTTTAATTTGTCTTATATTTGATACTGTAAATAAATTATTATTAATCTTAAATGTAAAATCAAATCCTAATGCTATTTTCTTAAGATTATTTCTTATTAAACTTAGATAGTCAGCTGATGACTTTAACTCTAAAAATAAATTAACTAATTTCTTAGAGGTGTCAGACAGAAGACTTTTATATAGTAAAGGATTTTCTAATAACGATGATACATCAATAGGTTTACTTTCTCTATAAGAATTGAAGTAGACTTTATCTATTCTTTCTAATAGTTTTTTAGAAGTTGTTTTAGGATATAAGAGTGTTCCTGCTAATTTTTTTAATTGATTATTAAAGTTGTTAATCTCCGGCATTTTAATAGAAAAAATTTATGAAAATATAATTAATGAAATTCTCTGCACTAAACAAAAATTATATAAAGTTAAATTTAGAGAGTGATAAGAAGAATGAGTGTATAAAAGATTTAAGTAAACAAATAGAAACATTAGAAGCTGATATGTACTCTAAATTAAACACTGCTTATTTGGGTGTAATTAATAAGTGTGTTTCACTTGAGAATTTAGATAGAAAAGTACAATCAATTCAAATTATAAATTCAGATTATCATTCATTGGTAAAAGATTCAGTATTAAGATCAAATGAGGTATGTGATGATTTATCAACTGTTGAGAAAGGTATTGAAAGAATTGAAACAATAGAGGAGGAATTTTCTTTAATTTTAAAATTTCTAGAAATGTCCTATAAGATTATTGATACTGTTAACAGTTATGACAGAGAAAATATCTATGAGAGTAGGAAAATATTGTTTCAACATACTCAAAATGTTAAAGAAATAGAAAGTTTGTTTAATTATTTTAAAAAGTATAATTTTACAACATCAATTAATAATATTTATGGTGAAGCTAATAGACAGTTTATCTGTTTTATTAGAATGCACATTGAAAACTGGTTAAATATGATTAGATATCAAGAAATTGGGGCTTTGGCACTTTCTATAGATTTCAAACCTAAAGTATTTGATGATATTGATGTTTTGAGAAGGGAAATTATATCAAAAGAATTTTTATGTATCGTTTATGTGAGTGATGAATTAAAACTAAGTAGAATGATTGTAGAATTCATAGAAAATTATAGAAATGAACAAGGATTCAAAAATTATAAGAAATTTGTAACACCCAGAAATATTTCTTTAAATAAAGAATCGACTGAGAATGAAGAAACGATAGAAGAAGAAAATGAATTTTCCTTGATGTTTGAAGAATTATTTAATAAATCAAATGATGAGATAAGAAAAAAATATCTTAGAAAGAATTTACCAATTGATATTACTGATAAGGAATTAGAAGAACCTGAATTTCAAACAACATTAGAGCAATTTTATTATCTTATAGCAAATATACTTTTAAGTCATTTTATCATAGAATATTTCCCTAATTGTAGAACATTTTTTGATGAAATAATTTCCGAAATTGATAATTTTAAATTTTATGAACCTAAATATGTAAAGGTTATTATACTACCGTTAAAAAGAATACTAAGTGGTCTTAATATTGATTCAGATAAGCTGGATGTCATCTTACAAAAAATAGTGTTTAATTATTTTAATACTTATTTGAAAGGAGACTCACCGGATGATATTATTAAGTTTATTGATAACTCAACTAATTTCCTAAAAGATCTCAAACAATTTTCTAATGAATTAGATGAGTTATTAAGAAATAAGATTGATAAAACACTTATAAAATATTTTAAAAGAAATAAAGGTGATAATACAGAAGAAGTTCATATGAATAATAAGAAAGCAATTATGGAATCTTTAAATTACTTAAAGAAACAAAGTGATTATTTTAGAATCCAACAATACCAAATAGAAAATGAAATATTTGAGAATGAAAAGAAATTTGTAGATAAAAAAGTAAAAGAAATTATAAAAAGCAAATCAAATATTAATAATGTAATAAAATTAATAGTTAATCTTAAAGAGTACATGGATGAAAACATTAGATTAAGAATATTAAGCAAAGTAATAGAGGAACTAAAAAATACATACAAAGGAGATAATTTAGTTTTATTTTCTGATACTCTTGACAGAAATTTTAATCTTAAAATAAAATAACCTTATTCGTTTTTTAATTTGTTTGTTTTTATTAGAAAAATAATTATTATGCATAAATAGAAATTTTCAAAAGATGAGAGATTTTATACTGGGTTTATTTTGTGATCTAGAGTACGCATTTAGATGTAACAAAGAGATATTGGTATACAATGATACGAAGAAAACTATATTAAGATTGTATGGAATATACAGTGATAATGTAGAGGATGTTGGTAAAAGTTTAAGAATTTTTATAGATAAAAGTATATCAACACCAACTAATAAAAATGCACTAAACTTAATTGTTTATAGCGACGTAATACAGAAAAATAACGTTCTTCAAGATAAAACAAATTATATATACGACAAATCAATACTAAGTTCATTATGTGATATTAAAAAACTAGAAGCTTTTATACAATATGGATCAGTTAATTTAATAAATGATTATAATAGAAAATTAAATACTGATATTCTAAAAATACACATTTATGATTATAATTTGATTTATGATATATTTGGGTTTGTTATGGGGATATTTTTAGTAATATGTGCTTATCATGTGGGAAAGTATGTATTGGGAGTACTGACAAAATTAGAACCTGATTATAACAGATATAAATTAGAAGGATCATTATGTGTTACTAAAGATTGTTTACCTGACAATGTTACTGAATGTTTAATATGTTACGCCAGCTTTGAAGATTCAGACGATAAAATAAGGAAATTACCGTGTTCTCACTACTTTCATGCTGAATGTGTAGATAGATGGATAATTAGTAGAAATAGAGTATGTCCTTTATGTAGAACAATTGTTCCTGTTATTGATACCTATGCATAATAAAATATAATAATACCGAATAATTTTTATTACTTAAAAAATCATTAAAATTTGAAAATCATTATTAAATGGTTAATTCACTTTTAATTTAATAAAAGAAGTTATTTTAAATAATTACAATTTTAGTAAATTATTTTTTTTTAATTTAC